CGCAACCCTAGGCACCGGGGAAACCGCCCTCGAAGCGGAAACGCATAATCCGCCGCGCTGCGAAAGAGTTCCAAAACGGAATGTACGCAAACCTAGGCATCGGCATGCCAATGCTCGCACCAACATTCGTAGACCCAAACATAACCGTGCAACTGCAGTCCGAAAACGGAATATTAGGGCTCGGGCCATACCCTCGCCGCGGTGACGAGGATCCGGACCTCATCAATGCGGGCAAGGAGATTGTCACGCTTGCCCCCGGCGCAAGCATATTCGGCTCCGACGAGAGCTTTGGTATGATCCGCGCTGGGAAAATCGACCTTACAATTTTGGGTGCTATGCAGGTGGGTATGTACGGCGATATTGCGTCGTGGGCCTTGCCCGGGAAGATCAAGGGCATGGGAGGCGCTATGGATCTTGTGAGTAATCCGGGGAAGACAAAAGTCGTTGTTACGATGGAGCATTGTGATAGGAAGGGGAATGCGAAGATTCTTGAGAGTTTGTCCCCCCCCTTTCCCTTTCCCCCCTCCGCGGTCTCTTGTCGGGGGTGGGAGTGCTAATGATGGAGGTATCGTAGAATGCATATTCCCACTCACCGGCCGCACCTGTGTTTCCCGGATCATTACCGAGTTGGGCGTGTTCGACGTAGACTTTGAGAAGGGGCTTACTCTTGTTGAGATTGCGGAGGGGGTGGAGGTTGATGAGATCAGGGCGAAGACTGGCGCGCCGTTTGCTGTTTCCGATGGGTTGAAGCCCATGCTTTAGGAATGCTTTTCTTCTTTCTTTCGCATGAGGGGCACTGTATGTAGGTGGAATTCGGGTTTCTTTAAGTTGTTTAGGTTTACGGGGTTTTTTTTCTCTTTAACTTGCACAAAGGTGTTCCTGGGCGGATATGAATGATTGTCTTGCTGTATAGTACATGTAGGTGTGGTTACGATATTAGAAGATTATCATAGATATTCTGGCGACTTCTAAGCGTAGAGCATATCCGTAGTTTGATGCAGAATTCCATTGGATTTGAAGTTGGGCTACGCATGTACATAAGTGGACCCTTGTATACCTCCTGCACCTCTTCTTTGAACCATTCCCCCGACTTGTGTTTTTTAGGAGTCGACGGGGATAAAACCCTTGCCATAGAAAAAAAAGACAGAGAGAAAGAATGTCATCAAATCAATTGTAGCAATGGTAACTTATAAGTAAAAGACTAAACATTCCCGAACAAGCAGCTGTCATGATCCATTTGATTTTGTTAATCTGCTCTTTCAAATTTCTGAAGCCAGATGAAAACTTGTCCTCCAGATTATTCACGTTCATTTTGAACTCGATTTTTGCAACAGCCAAGTCCTATTACATAATTAGTAGACTCCAACCTAGGAATAACATAAGAAATAACCTTTCGGAGATCTGATATGTCTCGTTCTAGCTAAAGTATCTGTACATCATAATGTGCAATTCTCTCACACTACCACACTTATTATCAGTTGGATTAAGAGTAATGAAAAGTTTACTTACACGAGGAGACTCAGTTGTTGCTAAATTGTAATGAACCATAGTACTGTAATTAGGAGGACTGCATAGCAAGCAGAAATGGAAAGCCATAGGGGCTTAAATGATAATGCGGGGCAAGGTGCAAATGAAGTGATTGATTGTAGAGGTCAAGGCTGGTAAACTTAAGGGAAGGAAATAGAGGAGGCCAGCCCTTACATCTAACCTTGCGGTTGCTTCCGCCCAGGAT